TTATTATATAAAATAGTTTGGAATTTCGATAATATTATTCTTTGTCAAAACATATATTCAATATTTGGTATAATTTATTAATCTTTAGTCGTGCAACATTCCAATCGCATGATCACTTAATGAAGTGATCAAAAGTGAAGCTACTTTTACTATTGTTGGGGGAATTCCCGAAAAGTATTTTATTCGGTCGAGTGACGATTTGTTGTTGATCGAATTAGTTAAGTTTATGCTTCCACTTAGTTCGTATCGGCACTTCTTAGAAGCAGTTTGAGCTGCAATATGTCTGCGAAAGGACGAACATCGAGTACTTCATGAAAAGTGGGAACTTGACCACTTTATGTGCAACAACAGTAATAAAATTCAGTGTATGATTTGTATGCAACGTTTGTCTGAGTAAAGAATACAATCGCCATTATACAACTAAAAATATTTTTCTGGCAGCTTTTGTAAGTAATTTAATTAGCTCGCGAAGCTATATAGTTTGGACAGCCCTGCTTTACACTTCTACAAAATGATAATAGATTAACTAAAAATTACGAGAGTCACCCACGCATAAAGAGTGTCAGTAGGCTGCGCGACATCACCGCGACCGCACAAGCTGCTAATTAATAATAAGAGGAAGAGTCCCTCTGTGACTCGAAATTAGTAGAGCTTTTCTCAGTACATTTACGTGAGAACTCGTAAGTTTTAGTTAATTCAATATGACTTAAAATAGATATTACAAAACCACGATAATAGATGTTTGCCTTCCCTATAAAACAGAGAGGTTACGTTAGATGTAATTAGAGCGGAGTACCTGGTGCGGCGGCGGCGGCGGCGGCGGATAGGCGGGCAGCGGCGCGGCGCCCGGCGGGGGCGGAGCGCCCGGCACTGGAGGCTGCGCCCCCGCGCCCGCTCCTGTAATACACCAGGACGTCAATAAGGTATTCCCTGATGTAAGGACTAATACTGCAAATATACAGCTGGGTCAATAAGTCCCGAGACCAGCCTGCAAATGACACGCCGAACCAAATCGACAGTTTGTGGAGCACACAAAGATTTGGTCCGTGCGGAAACCGATCCAGCTACAAGTGGCGCGACATGTAGCGGGTGTGTCCGTCGTAGAAATTGTCGGTCGTTCGGGCCACATTGAGGCCCAATTTAGGCCAATTTATTTTTAAATAATCTTACATTACAATTTTAATATCATTAGGAATTTTTATTATATATTTTTGGCGCCATACATAATAAGCTTTTTCGTGCCAGAGTAGTTTTTGCACTATGCACACACAGTCTATTACTATTAATTTTGCGTCTGTTTCTTTTTACCACATCAGATATTTGTTTAAATAGATGAGGGTTGTTATGAACAAACAGTGCTGTCTCTAATATGTAGAGGTATAGTGACGGAAGTGTTAAAATTTTATGCGCTATAAAGGACGGTTTACAAGAGTCAGTCGAGTCCAGGTGAAACATGGCTCGTATGCAACGTTTTTGGGGCTTAAATACCAGCGCATTATCTGTTGAGTTTCCCCAGAAGACCATCCCATACCGTAAGACAGAGTCAACAAGACCGAGGTAGGCCGTGAGTGAAGTATCGATGCTAACTACTGGAGCCAATCTGCACATAGCGTATGCAGAACTGCTCACCTTTTTGCATAATTTTTCTATATGCGCCTTCCAATTCAACTGCCTATCGATAGATAGGCCTAAGAATTGCGCTGATTCTACCTCATGTATAGGGTTACTATCGTAATCTATATGAATATCATGAGGCTGAGGTCTCTGGCTAAAGTGCATGACTTGAGTTTTTAATAAGTTTACTTTAAGATTGTTATTATCTAGCCAGTTAATAATTGATTCCAAGCAATTGTTTATGTCGTCTTGATATAATTCTTTTGTCTTACATTGTACAGATACAGTACTATCATCTGCAAAAAGCGACATTGGGTGGGTGGCAGTGGCGTGCAGTCCATATAGGCGAAAAGGCTTTGCCTACCTATAAATATCGTGAATATATGTATAACATACATAAAATGTACAAACGCGTTTATTAAAATTCAATAATATAATAAAAGTTTGTAAAAAAACGGCTAACATAAATACGCGCCTTTGTAAAGTAATGAATGCGCTCCGCACGCACCACGCATGCGCCACTATTCCTTAAATCTTGGTTGGTAGTAGTGACGTCACAAAAGAAATGTACCAAAAGTATGCACCGCGCATGCGTGAAGTTCACGACCATAGTCACGGTACAGAATAACCATTCATAATTATATTACACGATTCCTGTTGATTGACAAAATGTTTGCAACTAAAAAATTAGAGGACCGTTCGTTCATCACTTGGAAAACGATCGTATTTTATTAAGAATTCTAAAACAATAAAACAGCAACAAGTTATTGTATTTTTAAAAACAATTAAATTATAAAAGGTTTTAAATTGATAAAATCTGTATATCGTAAAGTACTGATGAATGGAGTACATCAGCGCCATCTATTGAATTTTTTGTTGAAACTTCTGAACTCGTTCGATATAATGCGAATGTATTTTTATAAATGCGTATTTAACAAATATGTTTCAAGTGTTTTAATTAAAGCTTAACATTTTTACGCGTTGTCGGTTTATAGAAATTTTAAACGAGGAGTTGACTTTATTATTATAAAAGTTAAAAGGAAGTTATTGAAACTTCAAGATGGCGCCATTTACAACGTTTCAAATTATATGAATGAATGTTTTTTAGTATGAAATATTGGTTTAAGACGATGATGCAATTTCATTTGACTTACTAAATTAACCTTTGTTTTTTTTAAATTAAACGCTGCATTACCTTAATTTTTAAGCTACATTTTTTTATAATAAACACTCAATTGACTATTGGTAATGACTTCAATTCGTTTCCAATGTTTTCGGCCATATTGTTTTCATGTGATGTGCGATCGCTTTGTTTATGTTTTCGTTTAAATTATTAGGAATTAGTTTTAAACATAAAGTTGCATAAATGTGTAGTAGTAGTTAAATATATGTGTAGGTTTTTCAAATAGTGTATTTGTTTATCAGTTTCTAGTACAAGTACCTATATTATTCGATTGTGAAGTGTGTGTGAATAATAGGTAATTTTATGTGTTTGTTGAAAGTAAAAACAGTAAGATTTCGCAAGAAAATGTCCTTTATCGGACTAGATTCAGGTAAAGACCATAGGCAGAGGTGTACTCGAGTTACGAGAATTGACCCAAGTAAAAGGTAGGTAATGTAAATATGTACTATAATGGATCTTTTATTTGATTTTCTTGTTTATTGTTTGATAATTCTTAAAAATATCAACTTAGACTTCGGGTTGTACTGATTCACATATTAATTTATTATTAATAATTATGTAATGTAGTAATAACATATGTACCGCATAGACTCGGCCGGCTCGGCCACAGCCGGCCGCGCTTGTTATTGTTTTGTTTGTTGACATAATGTAGGTACCTACGCTCTTAAATTCGTAATATATTATGATTTTGAACAGATTGATTAAACTAAACAATTCCATAATGAAATTTGGTTCATCAAATTTATGCCTTATTATTAAAATAAATAATAGATCCTTCATTATTTGTAAGTTTTGTTGGCTTATTCAATAGCTGATGAAGTACTTCACAAAAAATACGCGAGTTGTCAGTGTATGTAATTTGGCGAAAGAATACACCACAATATTCTTGAACGCACTTTTCGAAATGTATTATGTACATGTACCTATCTTGTGTGAGCATGATTGTATGACCGGCGGGGGGAGAGGGGTTTAATCATACGATATTTAGTTGCCTACCCTGTCTCGAAAACCTGTGCACGCCACTGGTGGGTGGTAAATTTAGGCAGATCATTTATATAAATGCTAAATAAAAGCGGACCCAGTACGCTGCCCTGTGGTACACCAAAAGTAATGCTACTCAGACAAATAAGATTCTTGATTCTTAGTCATGATATTAATCCTAGATATAGTTGTCATCTGAGATCTATCTTCTGATAGATCTCAGATGACAACTATATCTTGTATCTTTCTTTGTGTATCTTTCTAGATATGATTTTAGTAGATCCAGAATACTGCCTCGTATACCATAAGACTCTAATTAACCGACTTCAAAAAAGGAGGAGGTTATACGTTCGGCCGGTATGTTGCTTTTTTTTTGTATGTATGTACGCGCATAACTCTGAGATGCGTGAAGCGATTTGCAAAATTCTTAGTTTGTTTGAAAGGGTATACTCCCGAGATGGTCCCATTTCCATGAAGTCAGGATCTGATGATGGGATCCTAGGGAAACCGAGGGGAACTTACGAAAATTCTATGGGCGAGTAATGCGTCTATTATGTTTTTCAATTATGATTTTTAAACACTACAATTTGATAAGGGTCTGGAGTCGACCTGATGATAGAGCCGACAGACAGTCGAGGGAACTCCTCTACGGTATACAGTAACTTGTGTTTGGGCTTGATTAATCTGTATTGATGAGGACTTTACACCTGGATAGAGTGAGGCTGTCATTAAGGGTCTGATGATGAAGAAGTGTAATTGTTAAGGGAACTCCTCAACGGTATACTGTAACTACCTTGTGTTTGGGCTTGTATAATTTGTATTGATTAGAACTTTGCACCTATGTAGATTATAAGTAACAAAAATGGGTATAATTATGTAGCTTTACACTGAAAATGATAAAATAATAAAATAAAAACTGCGTTTAAAAAACCGACTTCAAAAAACCAAAAACTAATAACAAACAAAAAGTCAAAACTAAAAAGCAAAAAATAATTATTATTAGTACTGATAGGTTACCCACCCACTGATAGGTTAGAAGTCGGTGCCATAAGCCCATATCATAATGATATAACTTAATGCCCACAAAATTGTGAATTAGAGGTAGGTACCTATTAAGGTTTTAATGAATAATTTTGTATGGAACTTATGGCACCGACTTCTTACCTATCAGTGGGTGGGTAACCTATCAGTACTAATAATAGTTATTTTTTGTTTTTAGTTTTGAGTTTTTGTTTGTTATTAGTTTTTGCTTTTTTGAAGTCGGTTTTTTAAACGCAGTTTTTATTTTATTATTTGTTTAATAGTATTACCACGTAATCTAATGTCTGTTTTGTCTTAATAAGTCAATGTTAAAATCATCCGCGATTATACAATGTTTACAAGATTTTTTAATTTAATATAAATATTATTTATTTCGTCAATGTAGGTATGTTACAATAGATGGTAGATAACATTTTTCAGTAAACTAGACACTACATTACAAATAATCGTTGTAATGTAGTATCTAGTTTACTGAAAAATGTATTTAATTTCTCTGGTTTGGGCACCCTGTAAACACATACAATAACTGTACCATAACTAATAAGTTCTATTGAGCAACACTCGTATAGACCTGAAATTGACAGACTTTTTATTTCTGGTAACTCCTTCCACTGAGTCCCATTCTTGACGCGACATGTCATCAACAAATGTATCGTATAATATATCGCATCTGAAGTACCGACACACTTTTGATATCCGAATTGTCTTCTATTAATTATCTTATTTCTGTTCAAGTGAAAAAGTATTCGTGTTTTTTATATATTTTTCAAATATTTTTGAAACAGCTGGTAACAGAGAAATAGGCCTATCATTTTTTGGATCAGTTTTACATCCTTTCTTGTATATAGGTATAATTTTAGCGATCTTCAGTTGCTCCGGGAAGACAGAAGCTTCTATACACCTATTGAAGAAGTCTAACAGTGGTCCAGCCAGTATCTTGATGTGTTCCTTTAGGACTAATGTTGGCATCTCATCATATCCACACGACAATTTGCATTCTATCTCTTTAACGCAATCGAATACTTCCTTTGGTGTAACAGGAGACATCGTCATATCACTATTTACTCTCTCAGTGAATTCCTTTAGATATCTTATTACATGAGAAGCTTGGTAACCCTTTGATTAATGTATATGATCGCATTGTTTGGTTAGGATATTGCAAATTTCAGTGGAGTCGTTCGTTATTTTACCATCTCCTTTTAGTTTCAAATGTGATGAAGACGTTTTCACCTTACTAGTACAATTTTTGACAATCTTCCATATTTCTTTACTTTTGTTTCTAGCATTATTTATTTTGGTACTGACCGCAAGTCTTTTAGTCTTAGTAATTGTTTGTTTGTAAATTCGAACATAATTCTTTAATATGATCATGGAATTGCCTAGAGTTTTGGAGTTGAATTTTCTTTTATTGCTTACAATGTAATTTTCTTTCTTGTGCGAAGGAGTATTTTTTTTATGGGACAAGCCCGCCACAACCTCACAAAACCGCTGCAACTCCTGTAAGCCAGGATCTACAGTAGATACAACCATGGAAACACCGGAACACTGAAGTCCGGCGCGGAAGGAGTGTCAATATTCTCGAGGCAAATGTCATAAAACACATTACCATTCGGATAACGGTAACAACAACACACCAACAAACCCGTGGTACAGTCCTTCAGACAACATATTTCAAATACTTCCATTTTATACAATTTATTGATTATATCAACATTGTCGGTATTTCTATTTTCATGGGCTAAGATTAATGTCAAAAGTCAAAATTAATTAAATCAACACATCCTAACAGGTTACACCCAATGCGATAATGTTGTCAATTAATATAAAAACATATAATTAACATTGTTATAACACAGCCATACATATTAATTGCACTTATCCATCAACTACATATGTACAACTAACAACATCAGTCGTTACTTTTATGAACTCTGCCAATGAGCAACAGAAAATATCAACATTTTGTCCAACGCTGTAAATTATTTTAATAGCTAAATGGAATACGTTCGTCAATTGTTCATCTAGGATATGTTCATTTATGCAAATAAACGTCAATTTCTTATACAAAGTATTTAAATATACATAATTCTATTTGATTTTTCTTGTTATTTATACCACAAACATTTTGATGAAATATGCTAATATGCGAGGCTTGTCGTATCGTAGCGTGATGTTACTTTGTATCGTTGTCACGGGAGTAAGAAATATTGAAATATTCAGTGACAAGTTGCGTGTGGTACTTACCGAGCCAGGGCGCCTGCGCGGAGGGCGGCGGGGGCGCGGGGGCGCCGGCCGGGGGCGCGGGCGCGCCCGGAGGG